CACCCTGTGCCAACTCAACCTGTGCCAGTCCAACCTGTGCCAGTCCAACCTGTGCCAGTCCAACCTGTCCCAATCCAACCTGTGCCAACCCAACCTGTGCCAACCCAACCTGTGCCAGTCCAACCTGTGCCAGTCCTACCTGTGCCAATCCAACCTGTGCCAACTCAACCTGTGCCAGTCCAACCTGTGCCAGTCCAACCTGTGCCAGTCCAACCTGTCCCAATCCAACCTGTGCCAGTCCAACCTGTCCCAATCCAACCTGTGCCAGTCCTACCTGTGCCAGTCCAAATTATCCAACCCAACCTGTGCCAGTCCTACCTGTGCCAGTCCAAATTATCCAACCCAACCTGTGCCAACCCAACCTCTGCCAGTCCTACCTGTGCCAGTCCAACCTGTCCCAATCCAAGTTATTCAACCCTACCTGTGCCAACCCAACCTGTGCCAGTCCTACCTGTGCCAGTCCAAATTATCCAACCCTACCCGTGCCAACCCAACCTGTGCCAGTCCTACCTGTGCCAGTCCAACCTGTCCCAATCCAAGTTATTCAACTCAACCTTTCCAGTCCAACCTGTCCCAACCCAAATTATCCAACCCAACCTGTCCCAGTCCAACCTGTGCCATCCCTACCTGTCCCAATCCAAGTTATTCAACTCAACCCGTCCCGGTCCAAATTATCCAACCCAATTTGTCCCAATCCAAATTATCCAGCCCAACCTTTCCAGTCCAACCTGTGCCAATCCAAATTATCCAGCCCAACCTGTGCCAGTCCAACCTGTGCCAGTCCAACCTGTCCCAATCCAAATTATCCAGCCCAAGCTTTCCAGTCCAACCCGTCCCAACCCCACCTTTCCAGTCCAACCTGTCCCAGTCCAAATTATCCAACCCAACCTTTCCAGTCCAACCTGTCCCAGTCCAAATTATCCAGCCCAGCCCAACCCTCAGCTGGTAGAGCTTCAGAAAAAAAAAAAAAAAAAAAAAGAAAAAAGGCAGGTTTTGGAAGAGTTTGAACCGGAAAAGGAAATAAAAGTCACGTCCTGTTTAAAGGCTGGGACGAGGAGCTGCAGCACCTTCGGTTTTTCACCTCGGGTGAAAAATCTCCCCCCCCAAAAAATGCCCCCAAACCTTCCCCCAAATCTCCTCTTCCCTCCTGGAAGCTCTTTGCCCTTGTCCAAGCAGCAAAGCCCGGCCCAGCAGCCGAGTTTGGCAGCTCCAGTTACACCCGGGATTAAAATAACCCCAAACCCTCCCAACCCCCCCCCAAAAAACCACGGATCTGCCTGGATTTACCCCCCGGCTCCAGGGCTGGGATGGGCCTGGAGGAAGGAGCTGCTGGGCAAGACACAATCACAGGATTTCCAAGGGGGGAAATTCCCTCTGAAATCAAACATTTCAAATGATCCCAAAGCTCCAGGAAAAGGAAACGGGCCCGTCCAGGCGGAAACGGGC